TGATCTACAGGATGCTTATCCCTACTGAAATCTGTTTTGGGTTTTTTTAAGCATGCATGGCTATGCATGTCTCTGGCCACACAGGCACTCCATTCAGAAAGAGGCAAATTAACATACTACCAGGCCCATCTCCCGTCGCAGCAGAGTGACCGTGCAGAGCAGCCAGCAGCAGGATGGTGACGTCACCGCACTTGTAGTTCATTCATTACTCCCTCCGGCCTCATAATGGAAAGTCTATGACTCCATACACACATGGGGTGGGCGGTAAGCAATACAAGACCCTATGCATTGTGCCCATGAGGCATTAATGGCGGTTGCAATGCCTGGATGCCAAAATGTAATACATTTCTAATTTCATAATTGTTGGTGTGTTAATTAAATTTTTCCAAAAGATGGACTGTTCCTTTAAAAATAACAGAGTATCCTATTGGTTTAAACAATGCAACACCGTCTGGGAAAGGAACGCACGCTCCTTACAATCCTGTAATACCAATTATATACGAATGAATTGTGCAGTGCTGTAATGACAGTAGGACTAGTCACATGACCAGACAATGACGACACACACTCCATTTTGTATGCCAACACCGGTACTGTATATCACAGTGAAAGTCAGAGACCCAAAGCTGCGCTCCGATTCTAAGTATGCTCGGGCATCGTGAGTGAAATTGTCTGAAGGCAGATCCGTTCCCATAGCTAGACACCCGAAAGGGATAATCTGATTGCTATGGGCAAGGATGATGTTTTTGTCATCAATGCGTTTCATCACGGTAACCAGTTGGGGGACATTTACAAAACTAGAACCGCCCAAAATAAAAACTGCCAATAGCTGCTTTGCGTCATTTTATTCCCTCAGTGGGCGTTACACAATATTTTCTGCTTTTCGGCTGAGCAATTTTTACTATATAAAACAAAGAACAGCAAATGCTACCTACTTTCAGCCCTGGAGGCGCCTACGTATTGGCCGGTGTTAGTTTTGCAATTGTCCCACACGCTTTCCGGGGACCACACCCACGGCGCACACCATCAAATTTCATCATAAAAAGCTATTTCAGTGCAAAGCTCGGAAAGTTTACACTGCCTAAGTATCACAATGAACCTATGAACATTCTTAGTGACCAAAACAAAAGTCAACAGTTCAGGCTTCCCCTTTTTTTTCCTCAGGGGGCTTAAAAATTCAGCACACGGTTCAGTAAGTCAAGTTTCCAGATGCAAATCACACAGTCAATGATTCCAGGGTTCAGAATTTCCAAAGTTTGAAAACAAATTAGAAACAAACGGTAAGCAGTTCACATGCAATATGATAAAAAAGGAAAAAAAATAGGTATATATTTCCCAAAAACTTATTTTTAAGATCAGAAGGTTGTAGTGGAAAGACGTACCGGAGACTATGTACATTAGGTGGAGTTATATAGACGACATACTAATATCTTCCGTGCTTCGGCCCTCCAGGCAAGGAGCCCTCAGGATTTCCTTATGCGCAGGTAAAGCAAAAATGGCTACACGGCTTCAAAAACAGTATCTGCTCTTCGCCTCTTTCCCACGATGAGGCCTTGGCCCGCCCAATATAAAACACGGCGACTGACTCATACAAAAACAAAGTAGGAGACACACCAGGACAGCTAAGTCGGGTATATAAACAGCCACTGTCGCCAATGTCCTAGGCTGCGTCCCACCATCTTCACGTTGTTTTGTGGAGCGAAATAGACGTCAAATCTCAAAGTTGGCTGTGGCTTCTCCTTCAGCTTAGATGCATGGGCATGTATTCTGGCCTCCTGGTCTGGATGATTTTTGGTTTGCCATTACGGCTGCCATCCTCGTCCTCCTCCACTTCAAGCTCGTTTTCGGGATCGCTCTCGCACACGTGGACCACCACACTGGGGGTTGTGTCTGTGGCTGCATGTAATTCGTATTGCTCCCCTGCAAGCAAAGAAACAAAATTATTTTTAGAAAATAACAGTTTTGAGTGTTGACTTAAAGAAGTTAAAGGAGAACTATGGGGTTAGGGCTTTTCAAATCTTAACTGAACATACTGAAGTTGCCATCGGCAACTGGATAACCCCCTCCCCCCCAATATTACTTAGTATGTCTGTATGTACAGCAAAACATTTTTGCGAGTCTGTTGCAAAGTTTCGGACCTGGAGATCCTGCTAGTAACAGAACTTCCTGTTTAAGGCTGACAACACTAAGCCACTGCCTTGCAATTAGTAGTAATGTTGTCAGCCTGCCATGTGCATTCCTTAAAGGAGAACTATGGAGTTGGGGCTTTTCCCCATAGTTCTCTTAAGGGTAACGGGAGGACACAAACTAGTGTCCTCCCGTCACCCAAAGCTCAGTATACCGCGAGCTACAGCTTACGGTATAGAGACGCCGCAGCCAGAACGGATCCCGACAATTATGTTTGGATCCACCCAGCTGCGTGAGTGACAGCTGGCTCTGCCTATCTAGAGGCAGAGCCAGCTGTGCCCGCCCCCTCCCCCGTCCGTTCTTCCAGTCAGCACTCGAGGATTGGACAGGGGAGGGGGGAATCCAGTCCCTCCCCTGTCACGGCTTTCTGCCGGCACAGAATCGAGAAGTGAGTGAGCGCCGGTATGTGTTCGCTCACTTCCCGGTCTACTGAGCCGACCTGTGACAGTTTCATTGTCACAGGTCGGCTCAGATTATGAGGCTGAGTGAAAATAACTCACCTCATAGTCCTCCTTTAAAATCAGCTTATATTCTTTTGGTTCCTTCCTCCCCTCCTCTAATTCTAATGAAATGTTAAAATAAATCCTTTCAGTATTCATTATATACCTTACTTTAGTCCCAGCAATGTCATCACTGAGACTCTGGGGTTCTCTATACAATGCAGGCAGGTCATGATTGGTAGTAGGGGCTGTACATTGCATCCTCAAAACTAACCGGCCTCACTAATCCTTCAGGAGCCCTCCGTCCTGATGGAAGCAGTGGGCTGGCTCTTGGGAAAAGTGATGCAGGTACCAAAATGCCCAGATTGGTGGATGCCAGTCTAGAAGTGGGCGTTCCCAAGCAGAATGCATATACATACAGACTGCACTTGGTGACAGCCATATGTGATGCTGAGCCTCTGTAAATGAAAGCACTGAAACACAAAGAATGAAAGGGACGGCCAAGGGAAAATCAGGCTGGGGAGGAAAGGATTAGATGATTCTGGATGTCCTCCAGCCAGGAAATGAGGTGGGCTCTATCTGAATCGCTGCAGCTTCGAATGCACATTGTGAGAAGCTCACAGTGTGCAGTGAAATCAAAGTAATCAATTTCAGTCCAGGAGAGGAGCCGGATTGAATTGAGCAAGTCTGAAGAAAAGGCCGGAGTTCAGCTTCTTTTGACATAAATGTACTTTAGGTGTTACTGTAGAACTAAAGCTCAAATATACAATTTAGTGTTTCATGAATAGGCCCCAAAAACATTTTACAATTTTGGATTAATTTACCGAAACCCGGATTCAACCCAGTTGTGGTAAATCTTTTACGCTGGCTCAGGGGCGTTCCTAGGTGTATTACCCTGAGCGCCCATCAGGTGACACCCCACTGAGACATCATACCGGTGCGCGTGACGTCATCATGCACGCCTTCCTGCTGGCGGCCATCTTGGTGATGGATGCCGGCAGAGAGAGGAGGGGACGTTTACCCGGCAGGATAAGGTTTGCCGCCGGGTCCCCTCCTCTCTCATGCAGTTGTCGGGCTCTCAGTCCATGACCGAGTGCCCGACTTTTCAGATAGGAGTGCAATGGGTTCATGGACCCTGACCACTTGTTCCACAAAAGACAGGATGGGTGCTGCGGTAGTCAACGGATGGGAACCGTTGCATACATAGGTAGAAACAGGGACACCGGCACTCCAAATACGCTTATGTATTGACGTGGGTGCAGACATGTCACATGTCTTTGCTTGGGGAAGGGGATCCTGCGAGACCCAGGAACGTTGCATCAGTGTGATATGATGCAGCGGCGTCAATAAATAGACGTATTTGAATTGCATTTGGAGTGCCGGTGTCCTTGTTTCTACCTTTTCAGAGAGGGTGACACCAAAAAGACTATCAATCATTTTGGTGTCACCCGCTGCGGGTCGCAACCCCTTTGTGAGGCCACTGAGCTGGCTATACATGTGGATTGCAGTAACACAGTTTACTGCATATTGCCACAATGTGAATTAACGCATGGTACCATGTAGGTTTGCATTGTGATGCTATTTATTTAGAAGGGCACCCTACCACACACACACACACACACACACACACACACACAGTAGCTGCTTACTCATCTGAACTACATCGCACCACATTGCATACACTGGGGGAATTTATCAAAACTGGGCAGACAAAATCTGGAGCAGATGTGCATGGCAACCAATCAGCTTCTCTCTTTCATTTTCAAATCTTAATGGAACAAACTGAAGAGAGAAGCTGATTGGTTGCCGTGTACATCTGCTCCCGTGTTGATAAAGTCCCTTTATTGTGCCTAGTTGAAAATGCTGTCGGTGCGATTTTTCTTGTGCTGTGCTGCAAAATGAATAGGCTGCTTCAAAGCAGCAGGCCTCAGCAAAAGAAAATGCTTGTGTAACACACACACACACACACGTGTGAAGGGGTCCCTAAGATGAAGCAGTAACAACCCCTTCACAGCTCACTGCCATGTTGTTCCGTCATGGGATATTTTTTTCCCCTCCAGCTTAATGTAGGAAAAATGTGCTACTGAGAATTAAAAATAAAACAAAATGATTTTGTCTGGAAAGAATGGAAACTTGGCCCCACGTGTGTTCTATAATCACATCAGCTATTTCTGGACCACTCGAGAGAAAATGTTCCCTTTCAGAGAATTCTCCTTTCCGCACACAGGGAAAATGAATGCTGACTGATAGGCTTATTTATGTGGAAACGCTGGGAAATAATTCCTTCTGATTTAAGGGGGAACCTCTCATGACAGGAATATGGTGACTGGGATTTGAGGGTGTCATCTTCATCCTTGCTTCACTGGAGTCACTGGGCTGTTTATTCCACAACCTCTCCTGCACACCTGAACAGTGAAACTGACTCAGGGCCCCAGAGCAACAAGGTACCAAGACTGACCTGGGACTCCAGAGCAACACGGGAGTGAATCTGACTTGAGGCCCCAGAGAAACACAGAAGTAATGCTGATTCTGAGCCTTGGAGCAACACAGGAGTGAAGCTAACTCTGAACTCCAGAGCCAATGCAGGAGTGAAGCTAATTCTGAACTCCAGAGCCAATGCAGGAGTGAAGCTGACTTTGAGTCCCAGAGATACACAGGCATTAAGCTCACTGAGGGCTCCAAAGCAACACAGTAGTGTAGCTAAGAGACCCTGAAGAACACAGGAGTAAAGCTGACTCTGAGCCCCAAAGCAACACAGGAGTGAAGCTGACTTTAAACCCGAGGTTGGACTCGATGGACTTATGTCTTTATTCAACCTCAAATACTATGTAACTATGTAAACCCCAGAGCAACACAGGAGTGAAGCTGACTTTGAGCCCCAGAGATACACAGACATTAACCTTCATTGAGGGCTCCAAAGCAACACAGGAGTGTAGCTAAGAGAACCTGAGGAACACAGGAGTGAAGCCGACTCTGAGCACTAGAGTAATACAGGAGTGAAGCTGACTCTGACCCCCACCCCGGAAAACAATACATGAATGAACCTGACTCTCAGCCCCAGAGCAACACAGGAGTGAAGCTGACTCTCAGCCCCAGAGCAACACAGGAGTGAAGCTGACTCCCAGCCCCAGAGCAACACAGGAGTGAAGCTGACTCCCAGCCCCAGAGCAACACAGGAGTGAAGCTGACTCTCAGCCCCAGAGCAACACAGGTGTGAAGCTAAGAGCACGTTAGCAACACAAGAGCGAGCTGACTCAGGGGCACTAGGACAATACTGATGTGAAGCTGCCCATGACTGGGACTGCTAAGCACACACAGACCTTGGGTGCTGCAATATGTCTTTAGATATAATGGAAGAAAAGAGAGCAATGCCTACCTGGGCCAAGCTTGGAAATGGCGTACAAGAGATCGTAATTCATAACTGGGGTGGCATCTTCTTCTTGCTTCCAGCCCACTGGAGGAGATGCAGGTGGTGAGATGAGAAACTGCTTCTCGGGTTTTGGAGGAGCCAGATGAGAACTGCCTATGTGTAAAGTCTGCACAAGGATAAGAAGAGAGAGTTAGAGTTCAGTTGGACTGAATAGGCACTTACAAAAGAATGGAAAGCATCATAAGGAGCCCTGTACTGAGAGACATATGTAGGTTCTGACTGCTGACCTTTCCTAAAAATGCTAGCTGCCTGGCAAGCTCTGGAAAAGCAAGGAGAGCCAGACAACTATAGAGCCTTCAGAAGGAGAGGTCAGCAATGCCAGCCCATCTACTTTACTAGGTGTACCAACCCGGTACCAGCTAGAGCTTCCTAGAAATCATCTCCTACAAGACCTTGTTGTGTCCATTCCCAGGGCCAGTGGTGGCATAAGGGGGAACTTGAAGAGCCGCGGGAGATTCAGCCAGCGCTAGAGGAAGCGAGGCGGCAGCGGAGGGAGCAGAGCCGCATAAGCCGATGCTTCCTCTATAGCGCCTGCTCCTGTCTCAGGCGGAGTGATCCCAAATGCACTCCGCCTGTGAGGAATCGATAGTGAAAGCGCTCGGCTCATTCTGGCCGACAGATTGTTATACATTTTAAAAAAAATAAGACCTACCCTGAAAATAAGAGCTAGTGTGTTTTTTTGAGTCAAAAAAAATATAAGACAGTGTCTCATTTTCGGGGGAACCACGGAATCAGATGTCTGGTCCCCCTCTGCTTACAGTGGTAAAATCCGCCAGCACCCTGCATCACTATAAAATGCAATAGTGACGCAGGGGCTGCTGGACTGAACCACAGCGTGCAGCGGGGGACTCGGCAGACAACGTTCATGGAAAGGTTGGATATGAGGATTCTTCTGGCTGCTGTAGCTCTTCAAGAATGACTATCAGGACAAGGTGAATGTAAATCTTTCATTGCAGGGAACTTTTTATTTAAAAACGTAAAAGGGTCACTTTAATATTATAAAAACTACAACATGAGACTCAGGATCACCCATTAAGTAGTACCATGTGGAGTGAGACTTCATAGTGGGAAAAGAGCCAGGAACTATGGGAAGATGAAGCTCCCCCCATAATCACTTTAAGTCGAAGGTGTAACTGTAGCCATAGCAAACCATGTGACATCTATGGGGCCCAGTACTGTCTGGCTACGTAGTGATTCCTGCAGATGGCAATACCAATTGGTAAATACGTTTGGATATACGGTAGAGCTTTGGTACCTCTAGAAGAATGTCGAGGAAGCAAACAGGATCCCTTAAAACACATTGGGGGGAATTTATCAAAACTGGAGCAGACAAAATCTGAAGCGGCTGTGCACGGCAACCAATCAGCTTCTCTCTTTCATTTTCAAATCTTAACTGAAAATACTGAAGTTGCCATGGGCAACTGCTCCAGTTTTGATAACCCCCCCAATATTACTTATTATGTCTGTATGTACAGCAAAACATTTTTGTGAATCTGTTGCAAAGTTTCGGACCTGGAGATGCTGCTAGTAACAGAACTTCCTGTTTAAGGCTTACAACACTAAGCCACTGCCTTGCAATTAGTAGTAATGTTGTCAGCCTGCCATGTACATTCCTTAAAGGAGAACTATGGGGTCGGGGCTTTTCCCCATAGTTCTCTTAAGGGTAACGGGAGGACACAAACTAGCGTCCTCCCGTCACCCAAAGCTCAGTATACTGAGACGCCGCAGCTGAAACGGATCACGACAATTATGTCTGGATCCACCCAGCTGCGTGACTGACAGCTGGCTCTGCCTATCTAGAGGCAGAGCCAACTGTAGCCACCCCCTCCCCCGTCCGTTCCACCAGTCAGCGCTGGAGGATCGGACAGGGTAGGGGGGAATCCAGTCCCTCCCCTGTCACGGCTCTCTGACGGCACAGGATCGAGAAGTGAGTGAGCGCCGGTATGTGTTCGCTCACTTCCCAATCTACTGAGCCGACCTGTGAAGGTCTCGTTGTCACAGGTCGGCTCAGATTATGAGGCTGAGTGAAAATCACTCACCTCATAGTTATCCTTTAAGTTGGTTTTTGCGCTGCAAATCTGGCCTGCAGAGGCAACCCAATAGCCAAATGAAAGGGTACACATGGCACTTGCAAGGAAGTGGCTTACCGATGTCAGCCTGACACAGGAAATGCTGTTACTGGTAAATTCTGTAGGTAAGGAACTGTGCAACAGATTTACAGGAACTGCTTTGCTTAAGAAAACTGCATGCAGTGAGGAATTATACCAAACATACCGAAATAGATTTTGGGTTTACATATTAATAGCCTTGCTATAGGGGCCCTTTGCACATTGTTATGTTGCTGCTTTTGGGTCAAATATTTATCACATATGGCACATTGGGGGTTTTTTTAGCGACAAAGGTTAACTCAGACTTTAAATACTCCCAAAGAATGATATTTACTAAACTGATTATTATGAAATGTTGCTCCTGGTTTTGGTCAGGGCTTGAGCCTCGGGATCAGTGCAGCCCTTTCCCACCAGCAGAGAAGAAACATGGAGGACATACCTGAGCAAAGTACAGCTTGATCTCCTTCCCCAGGAACTCCATCTTGTTCAGTTGGATCCTGGCCTCCGCAGCCAATAGCGGGCTACTGAAGTTGATTCTCACCCTCTTAAAGCTTTTGAAGTACTGGAAGGTGGCCTCTTTGTCAAACGTTCTGAACAGGGATTCAAACTTCATCTGAAAGAAAAAATAAGACATATGAAATAATTGCCTCGTCGCCCGTGTGATTCACGCGTAGCCAGAGAATGCATCATTTCTACATTATTCATTTATTACATTTATGAAAATGACAGTTTTTGGAACAAGCCGGGGAATGAAACATTGGCTGCAGTCGCCGGTCGGCCCACAATTTTGCGGTCCTTGACTTTTGTCGAGCCGGGCGGTGCCCTAAGGGCCACACACAACCTGAACATTGGCCAAGTCGGCGGGTCTTGGCTGAAATACGAGCAGTGGATGGCCAGCCTGAGGTGACCACATATGGAGTGAATTTCGGCCGGCCCTTGATGAACCAGACAATTCCCCTCTATAGGTGACCTTGGTCGGCAGCCTTCCAGCAGACGTGCTTTTATCTGAAAATGGAAGGAGCCGGGTGGAAAATTCTTCACCAAACATTCAGTGCTGGCAATCAGCTGCAGTCACTGTGTATGTATTCTTACAGAGGTGGGCCTGACTGTCAGAATACAAGAGCCACAGCCGGAGATTTGTCTATCCACATTGAACAGCTCAATCTGTTTTCCATTCAGCTGGCTTGTGTATGGGCAGCTGTAACTCAGCACATCAGGGTCCTCACATAACTATCATACCACTATTGGGTGGACTGGCCCTTTAATATAATGTATTATTGAGAGATGATATGAAAGACAACATATGACATGTGATGATATGAGACATGACATGCGATGATATGAAACATGACCTATGACATGAGATGAGACACGATATGAGAGTATATGAGACATGACATATGGCATGAGATGATATGAAACATGACCTATGACATGAGATGAGACATGACATGAGAGTATATGAGACATGACATATGGCATGAGATGATATGAGATATGACATGAAATTATATGAGGCATGACATGAAACATGTCATGATATAAGAGATGACATATGACATGAGATGATAGGAGACGTGACATATATCATGAGATGAGATGAAACATGACCTATTACATGAGATGAGACATGACATGATAGTATATGAGACATGACATATGACATGAGATGATATGAGACATGATATATGAGTCGATATGAGACATGAAATGAGATGGAATAAGACATTACATATACCGAGAGATGATATGAGACATGACATACTGTATGGCATGAGATAATGACATATGACATGAGATAGTATAAGACATAAACACGGATGATATAACAATGTCTTATGATACGTGATTACAGTACAGACCCCTGATGGGCTGCCACCATTGGCTGTATGTAATGTGATGTGAGATATAAGCCTCCTCCTCCCGTTCTCTGTACACTGATCACAAGCTGTCACCATATAAAGATTACAGATTAGGCGCCTAAACAGAACTTTATTTCAGGAGGTGATGACAAATTGCGCGGATCACACACCGGAACATTTTCCAATACGCCGTCTGTCATTTTCCTTCTGGAAAGAAAAACAGCTTCCTGTGTGGAAATAAACCTCAGAGAGAGGAGCGCAGAGTCCCCAGATGACGGCTCTGTCTGGAGCTGAGAGTGGATATTACCCGGATATTAAAGACACCCCGACACCAACTCCAGAAACAAAATCCGGTACATTAAATCCTTACTTGCAGCATTTTTCTTTCCGTGAATCAGTTGTTAATTCTCTTGCATTCTGCCTTTAAATTTGCTAGAAAATCTGACTAATCCAGAAAGAGTCAATAACCTAGCGCAGCCCCCTCCCTCCTTGAGGGGAGGGGCAGGACTTTGGGCCAATCAGGTGCCCCGCATTCACATGTGCTGACAAGAAACAAGCTGATAGGAGCAGAGAGACGACCTCATTGGTCTACTGCTAACCCTTCACTGTCCAATCACAGGGCAGGGGTCAGGAGGTGACCAATCTTGAACGCAGCAGAGAAAAGCCAGGCCCCCATATTGCCTGCGCTGTCTGGCAGGGCTGTGCAAATCTCCAGCCTGGACGGACAGAAATCAAAATCAATGGCAGGTAAGACAGCTTAACCACTTGAAGACCAGGTGTTTAGACCCCCTTCCTGGCCAGGCCATTTTTCAGTGTTCAGCTAAGAGCTCCGGGCCGGCACGGAAGTGGTTAAAAAGGACATTTCCACCTTTGTAAGTGATTTTGAGTTTTTGGTGGCAATGGGGAGGTGCAGGGGGGATGTACATGTGTGTGCATTCTTAGGAGTCACAGAGCTGTTTTTCATACTTTTATAGATTATTTCATAGGCTGTTTGCCTGGAGTTCCTCGATTAGAAATGACTGCGCCCCTTTTTGCAATGATGCTGTTCAGAATGGCGAAAGACCCCCCTGTAGTGTACAGGACCCCCACAGCATCCACAGATAACCCCCTCCCCGCCTCCCAGAGTGCACTGTGCTCAGTATTTTTCATTCATACCCAGTCAGGTTATTCAATGACTACACTCAGAATACTTCAGATCATTCAATCAGCGTTCCCCAAGTTTATTATATTGGGTTCCCCTTTAAAATATCCGGTAGAGCTGCCAGTTTAAGTGCCCGGCCCCCTATAGTGTTTGCTGCCATCGCTAATGCCACCTACATGCTCATCTATGGTTTATATAAGCAATCCATTACATTCATCAGTCGCTCGTCACATGGTCCCGAGAGGCTAAGAAACTGCGGTGTCTGAAGGCAGCGAGCCAAGGAAATATTTTCATGAGTTAGGCACACTCCTATGGCCACGTGCCACCATCTTTGCCACATTCTGGTGACCTTCGAGTATGTGACGAGAACATTCCTGGACCCCGTCTGATTTTTAACACAGGCAAGGCCCGAGGGGGATATATGATCAGCTACCCCGCTGAGCCTCAGGTGACCCTCAGCTGTGTTTCCGAGTCCTCATTCCCATCTCCGTGCTCTGCTAAATTACAAACACAGGCAGGACTGGAACTAATGTCGTCATTCACCCCGAGGCTGCTGGGACATGCCAAAGATAGCAACAAATGAGCGCCGGGTATTGTGCAGCTTAACATTTATTTCAAAGGTCTAGTTGTCCTTTAAACAACAATTAAGCTTCCTACTGCCACAACTATGACATCCGCGTTCCTTCCTCGGGCAATGCGCTCTCTCTCTCACCCCTAAGTAGTGGCAACACTTTGTAGAAAATTCAATATCATAACTTTTCCAGAGATTCCCAAATTCAGTGTCCCCACATCAACATTGAATAACGTCAGGATTGTCTAGAACAGCCTTTGTCAACCTTTTTAACATGGAGGAACCCTTAAAATATCTTTCAGGTCTCCGGGCACCCCTGCTAATAAATACTTTATGCCTACATAAGCTCATGGTACACAAGACCCATCTCCCAGCGTGGTAGAGGGGCTCATAGTTCTCAATGTGGTACAAGTACAGTGACGTCGCCATACTTGTAGCCTATCGTTTCCTTCAGCCACATAACCGAAGGTCCGGGGACCGGTACAGACAGGGGCTGGGGGAATAGTCTGCAAAAGTCTGTGCACTGCACCTACAATACACTTATCAAGGTTGCAATGCCTTGGCACCCCTTCTAATAATTACTATATACCTATGTAAGCTCATGGTACACGAGTCCCATCTGTCAGAGCAGTAGAGGGACTCAGTTCTCAATGGAGTACAAGTGCAGTGACATCACCATACTTGTAGTCCATAACTTCCTCCAGCCCCGCACCGAAGGTCTGTACCCCGGTATGGACAGAGGATGGGGGAGTAATCTGTAGGCGTCTATGCACGGCACCCACAATCCACTTATCAAGGTTGCAATGCTTTGCAGGAGGAACCCTTCAAATATCTCTCAGGTCTCAGGGCACCCCTTCTAATAATTACTATATACCTATGTAAGCTCATGGTACAAGGTTTAGATGCTATGCAGGCTCCAATGCACACAAAAAAATTAATACATTCACAATTTTATATTTTGCAATATGGCGGCATTTGTCATGTTGTTGCAAAAAGTATAAATATATTAAAGTGTATCTATATTATGTGGCAGTGAATGGCAATGCCATGGTGTCATTTGGCAATATAGTCACCCTGGACTCTCAGCCAGGGGGCTGAGCAGTAAGGATGGACTCGGGCTTGTTCGCAGCTCCACGTGCCGAGCCCGCCTGGAAGCTGATCGCGTGCAGCGCTAATCACAGGCACTGAGACATTTCCCGATCTCTGCAGCTGCGGACTGGGGACATGTCTCAGTACCTGTGATTGGCGCTGCGCGCTGTCAGCTTCCTGGCGGGCTGAGAACATGCCCAATCCATCCTTACTGAGCAGTTCCAGAAAGCACAAACATTTACAGGGAAAGAGCTGGCTTTGCAGTTCTTCCCAGGTTTTCCGGATTTGGCTTGGGTTCCTGGAACTGGGAGATTTCAAAGAGCATCGGGAGGGATGAAATCTCCATTCCTGGGTCCGGACTTTAGTAGTGACCGGCACCGAGTGGTTGTGCACCCGTGCACAGCCCTTATGAAGAGAATGCTGGTTCATGTTCAGGGTTCCACCTGGGAGACAGAGGAGGTCTCTGTGCAGGGGTCTGGAGGGTTCCACCCTGGAACTAGCCTGTGTGGCAACACACCTTTGTGGCGAGGACCAGCCTGTGCGTCTGTGAGAGAAACAGTTGGGACTAGTCTTGGAAACAAAGAGGACCAGAGGTCAAAGAGGCAAAACGCTGAAGGTAAAAGCCAAGAAGCTTTATCTGTGTTTTCGTTGCCAGTACTGTGGGTACTTGATGTTTGGAAACCCCTGCGAGGGAAAACCGCTGTGGACTTATTTTGACTTTGAATCAATAAACGTGGGCAAAGAAGCCCTTTAAAGAGAAGTAAGCAAGTAGAAGTGTCCTTAATGTGCTACCAATGGAAGCTACGGTATTCTCCGGACAATAGGACGCAGGGATTCTGTGACAGAAATGTTGTGACAGAAATTCTGTCACAGAAGCTGCAGTTAGTGACCGCTGAGACAGGTGGCGCTGTGATTACAGCGCCACGGTCTCAGTAATCACACAGGGCTCT